GCCCAGACAGAAAGAGAGAGAGAGAGAAGGTGAGAAAGCAAGCCACCAGGTCCAGGACCTGAACCACAATCGGCCATGTGAGAATCCAGTGCCCTTAACCACCACACCACCTGCCGGCCCATCTTTTCCTTTTTTCTGAGCCATTTCTTTGAGGTATATGCTCCAGAGTGGGATAGGCTGGTTGAAGGACAGGAACAATTTGACACCTCCATTTTTTATTGCTGTATTTCATACTGCTCTCCTAAAAGTCTGAGACAATTTATGGAGCACGTTTATCCACAGAGATGGGGAAATTACGTCTTTGCCAATATTTCAATTGCCATTTTTATGTGTTAACAGAACCTTATGGTCATCTTTTTTTTTTTTTTTTTTTTTAGAGGTTAGGGTGCGTGCGCTCAACAGAAAGAAAGACAGAGAGACAGAAAGTGAGAAATCACCTCTGGGGGGGATGGCCACGCCGCAATCCCTTCTCCTCCATTCTCCTCTCGGGATCTTGGGCACGCATGCACATGCACCCGGCTTTAGTTTAGGCCACTGGGTCCAGGACTCGAATCGCAGTCAACTACATGGGAGTTCAGTGACGTAGCCATTATGCCATCTGCTGGTCCCAGCTTATGGTCATCTTAGGGTGTTCTTTGTATGTTTATTTGTTACAGAGTTTATTCCTTGTACTTTAACGAAGAGCAACTAGAGTTCTCGTGAAAATGTATTCTAATATAAATGGTATACTTATCATTACAAGCTATGTTGTAGGTATTCATTAAACATTCATTGAATGAATGCATATATTAAAATCACGTGCAGGGACCAACAGGTGGCGTAGCAGTTGGGGCACTGGATTCCCACATGGCTGACTGTGGTTTGAGTTCCAGATCCCTGGTGGCTTGCTTTCTCACTTCCTCTCTCTCTCTCTGGTTCTCTCTCTCTCTCTGGTGAGCACATGTGCCCTATAGCAAATGGAGAAATAATGATAATAATAAATCAAATTAAATGAGTAACTCTTACAAAAATAAATAAATAAAATCAAGCGCAGTCACTAAAAGACAAATACTGCATGATTCCACTTCTACGGGTTATGTAAGTTGGTCAAATTCACAGAGACAGGAAGTGGAAGGGGGGTTACCCAGGTCCGGAGTGAGGGAAACAGGGAGTTGTTTAATGGATAGAGAGTTTCAGTTTTGTGAGGTGAAAAGAATTCTGGGAATTGCTGACACAACAGTGTGACTAAACCTCCGCTAGAAATTAGGAAAGGTATTTTATATGTATTTCACAGCATATACCCTAAGTATATTACCACAAGTATGTGTGTGTATGTGTGCGTGCACATGTATGTGTGTATTTTGTAACCCAATGATCATTTGGTATATATTGTCACTAGAAATGTGCCAGCAATGGTCATGTGTATTAAGTGAAATTTCATGTAAAGAATTTTTTGGGGACTAGTAGATGATAATGGTTATGTTGATGGACTCTCATATGGTCGGCCATAGTTCGCGTCCCAGACCCGGCAGCTTGAAACTCACGCCAGGTGTATGTGTGTGTGTGTGTGTACCTAAAATCTCCCATCTCTCCAGCGATTGCACATATCCTGTAGCAAGAAGTCTCTTAAAAAAAAAAAAAAAAAAGAATTTCCTTGACTGAAGTGCGTATTTGGTTAGCCCCATAGCACAGTGGTTAAGGGAGCCAGATCCCACATGGCTAACCGCAGTTCAAATCCTGGCTCCAGCACTTGAAAAACATGCCAGGTGGAGCTGGCAGGTGGCATGGTGGTTGAGAGTGCTGGACTCCCACATGACCGACCACAGTTCTAGTCCCGGACCTGGCAGCTTGCTTTCTCACTTTCCCCCTCTGTCCCTCTCTCTTGCGCACACTCTGTCCCTCTCTGGTCAATTATAATAAATAAATAAAGGTAAATAAAATAATTATTTTTTTAAAAACATGCCAGGAATATGTGCATACATGTTCAAAATCATAAAGGGAAGGGGGCAACAGGATTGCAGTGTGACCACATTCTGCTGAGGGGTGCTTTCTCACTCTCTCTCTCTCTCTCTCTCTCTCTGGCAAGTGTACACACTCTCTGGCAATAAAAGCAAAAAATAAAAATAAAATAGTGTCGGGTCAGCTCTGCAGCATAGCGATAATGTGCTGCTCAAGAGAAGCCAGATCTCATGTGGTAGCTGTGGTTCAAATCCCCGACGTACATACAAGTGCCCAAGATCCGACAGGTGGAGGATGGAAGAGAAGGACCACTGCATGACCAGACCCTTAAGGGTGCTTCTGTCTCTCACGCAGCCATGTGTGCACATGCTTTATCCTGAATAAAGAAAAAATGATATTTTGTAAAAGATTTATTTAATTTATTTTTTTATTCTCATTATTATTTTTTTAATTGGATCAGAGAGAGACTGAGAGAGGGGAGAAAGTAAGAAAGCAAGCCACTGGGTCCGGGACTTGAACTGCGGTCAGCTACATGGGAGTCCAATACCTTAACCACAGTGCCACCTGCTGGTCCCGAAAAAATTATATTTTTAAATGACCGTGTTAATTACTCAACACAGAGACAGGTAAAGATATGAAATATTAATGTTATGAGCAAATAGAGTAAGACTCATCAAAGATTTAAAACTATTACATGAATATTCAGTGTTAGTAATAAAGCACTTGATGGTCAACAAAATCGTATACCTCTGGATTTCTATTATCTGTGAATGAAAAACAAAAAAGAGGCAGAGCTCAGGACATCTTAGAAATCTCCACCGGAACTTTTTCTCCTAAAGAGGGGGTGACGAGGCTAAGAAGACTAAGTGATCTTCCCACTTCCAGAACATCCATCTCTGGTGGTCTCCAGCCAACAGCTCCTTAGGTCTCCTGGGCTAGGATGGGTCATGGGGCCTCTCCCGCCTGCACCCAGGCTGCTGGGAATGCGGAGAAAGACCGAGTTCAATTCAGTCCGCACCAAACAAATTAGGATCCCCTGAACGAGGAAAGAAAAGGGAAGCGTGTATCGGGTAAATGGCCAGCAGCAACTCCTCCGCTCACCGAGCTGTGTGTTGTGTTGTGTTTGTCTGTGCTGTTACAGGCTGGGACCAATGGTTACATGGCTCCCGAGATCCTAATGGAGAAGGTGAGTTATTCCTATCCTGTGGACTGGTTTGCGATGGGATGCAGTATTTACGAAATGGTTGCTGGACGGACACCATTCAAAGAATACAAGGAGAAGGTCAGTAAAGAGGACCTAAAGCAGAGAACCCTGAAAGACGAGGTCCAGTTCCAACATGAGAACTTCACAGAGGACGCCAAGGACATTTGCAGACTCTTCTTGGCTAAGAAACCAGAGGAACGCTTAGGAAGCAGGTAAACCACCACGTGGCCGGGATCATTGCTGAAAGCTACGTTGTCTGAAGTGATTTGGAGAATACTTGGGATTTGTGACAGTCTTGGAATTAGTATTGTCGTTTTCCTGTGATTATTTGCATATTATATGGTTAAGTATTGCCACTACTTTCAAACGCTACGAGCATTTGATGTGGAACAATCTCCAAAATTTATTTATTTATTTATTTATTTATTTTAGGTTTTTGCCATAGGGTGCATGTGCTTGCCAGAGACAGAGAGAGGGAAAGTGAGAAATTGCCACCCGGAGGGGGATGGCCACACTGCAATCCTTCTCTAGTCTCTCAGGACTGTGGGCATGCACGCACACTTGCTCAGCGTTGACTTTCAAGTCTCTAGATCTGGGACTCAAACCATTGTTGGCCATGGGGGAGACCAGCACCTTAACCACCATGCCACCTACCGGCCTGCCAAGATAGATTTTTTTTTTTTGCTTTTTTTACTTTCTTTTTTTGGGGGAGAGGTTTTTGCTATAGGGCGCATGCACAGAGAGAGACAGAGAGATAGAAAGCGAGAACTCACACCCTGGGGAGATGGCTACACTGCAATTCCCACTCTTCCATTCTCCTTTCGGGATCTTGGGCATGTATGCACACGCGCCTGGCGTGAGTTTAAGCCACCGGGTCTGGGTCTCGATCCATGGTTGACTACATGAGAGTCCAGTGACATAGCCATTAAGCCAACTGCTGGTCTCCCAAGATAGATTTTGAATGGAAAAAATAAGGCGCAGATAGCTTGCATTAAAAAAAAAAAAAAAGAGGAAAAAGGGACAGGGGGTGGTCAATAGTAATGCAAATGAACCCACATGGGAAAGGTCCTGGATTCCTGTCCCAGGAGGAGCCTGAGTATGCTGTGTGCGTGCATGTGTGTCCCGGATCTGGGCCCGCTGAGACTGCGGGTGGATTGCTGCATGAAGACCCTGATGGGGGGACCAGCAGTTGGTGTAATGGCTATGTCGCTGGACTCCCATGTAGTCGACCGTGGTTCATGTCCCG